GGGAACGGATTATTCTCATTTTAATGGTTTCTTATGGGAAATAAATGTTCGGAAGACGAACTTTTCGCCTCACACACACTTTCTGGGAACCAATTATGTTCGTGAGCTGAGGTATCACTGTATACAGGTCCATGATGTGTGTTTCCCCTGGAAGTGTATTAAGCTATCATAGTTACCGAGAGAATTATTAGTCCTTCAAGAATGCTGACTTCGTGACATTAAGTGAACACCTCCATCATTTACGCTAGATGTACCGTATTGGCCCGAATATAAGACTGTGTTTTTTGTATTGAAATAAGACTGAAAAAGTGGGGGTCGTCTTATATTCGGGGTCTAGACGTTATACCCATTCACGACGCTAGATGGCGCCAGATATCATTGAAGCGAATGCTGAACTTGACTCTTCAGGCCAAAGTGAACTCCTGCCACGAAGAATAAAAATAAAAATAGCGGTAGCACGAAGAAGAAAAATAAAAACTAGCGGTAAGAAAGAAAATGGAGAAACGTAGCGACAATCTGGAGAAAAGTGGGTCGAAGATCAGCCAGGCAGCTGAGGAGAAGTTATGATGTAATTCACATTTCAAAAACCAGAAGCCATTCATTTACGAATGTGATTGCACTTTAGTTTACATATTTAAATGTTCAAATATTAAGATTTGAATGAGGCAAAATAACATGCTTTTTCTCTCAAATATATTGTTAGAATCATTTGTTTCAGATGCACTGTAATTATTTTCTGTATAAAAATTAATTTGGTGTTCAAAAAGTCTTTTTTCAAATTTGAGTCTTGAAAAAGAGGTGGTCGTCTTATAATCAGGGCCGTCTTATATTCGGGCCAATACGGTACTTCACTGCTATTCAGAATACCATGTATACTGCATTCCGCATGTTTGGTCCTCACCGAACAAATTCTTCTCTTTCTGGCAAGATTAAAGCTTTCAGTGTTAAATCAGGGTCATTTAGAAAATCCAAAGTCAAGTCGGTCCAAGTTGTGATAATATGTCCTCAAGCCCAAGTACCACTTCACCTTCATGATGAGCAATGAGAAGCAGCATTAAGAGGACAAGAGGCCCTCTTCTCACGAGGAGAATGACACATGAGGTGTGTTTTTCCTCATCTCTCTCTCTCGCAGTGGACTGTTGGGACGGTCCAGATGGCGAGCCGATGGTCCAGCACGGCTACACGCTGACCTCCAAGATCACCTTCAAGTCAGTCATAGAGACCATCAACAAATACGCCTTCATCAATAACCAGTGAGCTCGCCGATGCCGTTCAATGACTTCCTCCGTGGCAAACGTCAATGACATTCTGTCCGCAAAAATTCTACATGTGGTTAATTGCGTTATTGAGTACCTGCAAACAGTTCACTTTATGAAACAATAATGCCCAAAAAATCCGCAGAACGCTGCATTTATTCAATAGGAAACAAAATGCACCGATCAGCCGTCATCGATTTGAAAGCAGGTTTAACGTTTAAACAGCCCACATTGGCTTTCTAAAACAACGCCGTTATTTTTGGCCATCATTAGCATCTAAGCGCACCATCTGCTGATCAGTGTTTCCTCACAATCCCCACAGGAGTGACCATTTGTCTCCACAGAGTCCAATGCCACCTCAACAAAGTGATCCAGACTCTTTCCTCTACTATTTGAAGCCAGTGGCTCTGGTTATAAAGCCGTTTATTTCCTTTCAGGGCAGTGGCAGCAAGGCGGCGGATTCAAGCGGTGTAATTAAGTCTGAAGTGGAGTTTCAATTTGGCAGCAGCTTGTTGGAGCAAAAATAGAATTGCATTGAGTTTGTGCTCCCGTTTAGCTGTTATTTAGTTAAACTCTCAGCTTGTTTTATGTGCTCGGCGGCTTTACAATGCATTGCGTGCCCAATTAATTGATGTCAAGGTTTGTTTTGCTTGTAGGTCATGACATATAAAGCTAAAGCTCTCGAAGCGGGGAAAGAGGCGGTGGTGCATCACGGTCCAAGTGACTCCTCTATTGTCGCTTTCTCCCTCTTTAAACATTGTTTATATTGGCTGCTGTGCCTTGCATTTGTCGAGGGTAATTCGTACATGGATTTGTCCGCTGCGTCGCAGTGCGTTTGAAACACTGTCCTTGCCGTCGCGTGATTTGAGTTACAAGCACGGTGACAGAATGAATCAAACGCATAATTCAAGACACCACCTTCTTGATATTCCATATGTTGCAGACGCATTGAATTCTTCACATTTATAAATCACGTTTTTCTTTATCGTCACGTCTGTTCTCCTTTTATACGCTTCTTATCAATCCGTGTCACCTCTCAGTATGATGAAGGGCCCCTGGCTGTGTAGAAGTGGCATAGCGCTGCACACGCACACACCCTCATGATTCACCCGAGAGAATCTCAGCTTGTCACTATAAGTGAAATGAAATAACTTGATGTATCTCGCTTAGTTGGCCCTTTTTTGTCACAAGCACAGCACCTGTTTGTGTGTGTGAGTGTGTGTTGTGTGCGCGCCCGTGTGTTTATATGTGGGTGTGTGAAGAGGTGAAGGCAGGCTTGCTTCCCCCCCAAGGCGATGCTGTCACTCTGACAAAGCTGACATTTCTGCTACCGTGTGGCCAAAAGTCACTTTTCTAAATGAAAACACCGTCTCACATAGAACCTTTCTCGCACACACACGAGACGTGGAGGTGAATAGTTGTCACGACGGATTCAATTTCCTCTTTGAAACGTTCACTTGTCTGTTGGACATGAACAGGGGGACACGAAGAGACTAGACCGTTTCTTTGTTGCTCACCCTCACGCTATGTTGACGTAAACCGCATGTGCGGTGTGTGGCAGGTACCCGGTGCTTCTGTCCATTGAGAATCATTGCAGCATCCAGCAGCAAAAGAAGATTGCCCAGTATCTGAGAGAAGTGTTTGCCGACAAGCTGGACGTCGGGCACGTGCTCACCAGAGAGTCCAAGACGTTACCTAGCCCTCAGAGCCTGCAGGGCAAGATTCTCATTAAAGTAAGTCAAAACCAAGATGATATATGGGATCCAAGTGGCAACATCACGCTGGAGAAAGTGAACGCGGCACACCGGTGTCCCGAGTTTGAAATAAAATGAAATCTGTTCGAAATGGAAAAGTATGAATTTCAGGATTTTGGAAGTGCTTAATCAGGGCCCAGACCTAAATCCAAGGGCACACATAGACGAACAACCATCCGCGCTTACAATTGCAACTTGGGACAAGTTTGAGCCGGGGTCGGCAACCTTTTACACGCAAAGAACCATTTCTGCGCAGGCATCATGAAATATTCCGTTTTCTTCAGATATTAGTATTTCCTTTCAAAGATTTCTCCATCGTTTGGCCTACCTTGGGTTGAAAGTCTCCGTGATGTCGAAAAGTGCGACAAAAAAATAATACAAAATATAAATAAATGTATTTTAATATTTGGAGATCACAATAATCTTACGATTTACAACGACAATTGAACAAACAAACAAGCACAAATAAAATACTGCCGCCTATCAAATCTGCCTTCTGACACGCCGGGTGCTCGCAAACGTCTCTAAAGGAGGCGAATGCCAATCACCGAAATTGCACAAGGTCTGAAGGAAGAAGTTGCGATGTCGGGAGGTAAAATAACAAGGCCAGAGTGTAGCCAAACACAATATTTTATAAACAGGCTATTAACAGCACAACACTAGTTCGTACAACTCAAATAGTTGCCATTGCAGAACTCCTCTCCTTCCTTTTTCATCTCGACATTTTTTATAGCAACACTGCCCCCTAGTGTACAGTCATAGAACATAACAGCGGTGATGCACCTTTTTGAGAAAAATATGACTTCATTCGGACACTTATAATTTCTTTCCCCAAGCCACGAAGAGCCGCAACATAAGGAAGAAAAAGCCGTAGGTTGCCGACCCTTGATTTTGAGTGTTTCCATTAACAGCCATGCATGTTTTTGGAATGTGGGAGGAAACCGGAGTACCCGGAGAAAACCCACACAAGCGCGGGGAGAACATGCAAACTCCACACAGGAAGGCCGGAGCCGGAATCAAACCCTGCACCTCTGCACTGTGAGGTGGACGTGCAAACCATTTAACACAGTTCCGCCCAATTTATATGCATTTTGATGAAAATAGTAAAGACCCTTTGAAGTATAAAACCCATTTAATTAACACAGTTATTAGCATTACCGCAGATTATCTCACATTTACGTGACTGTTCCGCTTTGGCAATGTTTCAAAAAAAAATGCTAATTGAAGTAAATATTCAACAAAATAATCGAATTTAGGATAGGATGACATCTCAATTGGCCGCGCTCAATGTACCTCATAAGAAGAAGAAAAAGAGACAGTCAAGGTCAAACTAAGAGGGCCTGTTCTCACAAGAAATTAGTGGCATTTCTTGCAAAAAGAAATGCAGAACAATTGCTATTACGGACCACAGGATGGTTTCAATATTTAAAGACGTCTCATGACAGTGTCATCTGTTTTTACGACGCTGCCACATTCAGAGGACAAGCAGCAATATTTGTGTGGTGCGGGGAAAAAAACTGTCCTTAATGTGAGCATTGCATAAATAATAGAGCTGTTCATTGAGTGGAAATTAAAGATTCAGTTGTCAAAATCCCGCTGACGCACTTTGGCGTGCCGCCGCCACCGCTGCAGAAGTGCTTCTTCTCAGTGCTCGTTAATTCAGCAATGTTTTGATCCCATCGTTTTGATTGCCGTCCGACTCGCGACGGCCATGTTAGTTTGACATCATATCGCAAGACGTTGATGCTGCAAGCCACCATTTTAGACGTCTTTCCACTGGGTCGCAACAAGAATCCGACTGATTTTCAAAGAAGAGTGAAGATGTTGCTTGGTTGTTACCTGAGCAGGTGTGATGTCATTTTCAGTCAACAAGTGGCAAGTGGCAAAATGGCTGCCCCCCCCCCCCAATATGGATAAAACTGGTGAATTTTGCTGCTTTGCCTTTAAGCGTACACACTACCACAGCTCTAAATTCATAATCACAGTCAATATTGTATTTGTGTAAAAAAAAATGAAGATAAGCAATGAAATGAAAAGCCGTGAGTCGTATGACTCTTATTTTTTACGACTCACCCACACCCCGCATTTGAAAATCATTGCTATCAAAAAAAAAAAAGACCTCAGCAATTGATTCCAAACCAGTGCATGAGATCCAATACTTCTCCAGCTAGCATTGTTGGAGCAATCGTTAAACCTTCAAGAATGATCTCCATTTCCGCTTTCTGTTCTTGTGTTACGAAAAGAATCATTGATTTTAGCCGTGACGTAAGGCGGCGGAGGCTTAGTTATCCATGTTTAACAGCACAGGGGGCGCTTTTTGCTGCTGGACACAAAGACAGGGAGAGGGCTTTTCTAGCGTGTTTAGTATTATTGGTGCCCTCTGCGGCATGCATTGTTTCCCCGGTAAAAAGCTTTTGTCTCTTCCGAGTGAAGATCCAAAAAAAAAAAAAAAAAGTCAAAAAGCTTGATTGATTTTCCCACAAAGCCTTTTAGTCCTCTTTCAACTCCTCAGTACGGACACATAAAAAAAAAGGACACATTAAAAAAAAAAGGCAAATAAGGAGCAGACGAGTGGTGGTAAAATGTGCGGCGGCTTTTTGAAATGAGGGGGCTGCAATGTCAACCAAGAGACTACAGAGGGCTGAGAGTTGGCCATTGATTTTTTTTTTTTTTTTTTTTCACGGAGAAGCTCAGAAAATCTACCTACTCCCACTCACACCCTCGCTAATGTGCTCCGGCTCGACCGGATGATCCTCTCCTGGGGAGCTTTTCCGAGAGTCGGCAGCAGATTGTACATTTGCGTATGTGTGTGGGAATGTGCCAACATTGGGAAAAGAACCATATGAGTCATTTGGAGAAGTACGCCTCCTCTTTAAGCGTAGAGTAGGTTTTTTTTTTGGTTGCCATTGTAGTGTTTTTATTTTATTTTTTATTTTTTTGCTGTTCTCTTTTGAGCAGGGGTCAACCGGGAGCCATGGTCATGTCACCACCCACTTTATTAGAAGTCAAACCAAGCACGATTATTTTTCAATAATGGACGGTGTATTGATTGTATCAACTTTTCATCAAAGAAAATGAAAATTTAATTTGGGGTGAGCAGTTTAATGATTCATGTCAGTATTGATATAAATGATTCTGGCCCTTCTGTACTTTGGCTGCTCAAGATAGCTCTCGACAATGTGCAGAAATCAATGCTGTGTTTGAGACATACTATTTATGGGTGATGACTTTTTATCGCTTTCACACCGTGCAGGGAAAGCGTCTCCCTGCATATCTGTCTGCGGATGCCGAGGAAGGCGAGGTGTCCGACGACGACAGTGCAGACGAGATTGAGGACGACTTCAAGCTCAAGAACAGCAATGTGAGACACCGCAGTCCTTCAAATGTTGATATTTCAACGCTGCTTTTGAATGGAATGATGGTTCAGTTGAACATTTTCTAGGAAAGAAATGACAGAAAACCTTGTTAGGCGCCTGCTCAGTGAGCATCAAAAGAATATGCTTGACAAGTGTGCCGCTATTTCGATGTGATGAACCGGTTTGCCAGTCAATCGCACACACAGACAAACAACGATTCACACTCACGATCACACCTAGGGACAATTTGGAGTGCCCAATCAACCTGCCATGCACGGTTTTGGAATGTTGTGCGGAAACTAGAATACCCGGAGAAAACCCACACAGGCATTAATATTGAAGCAAATTTAAATGACAGGATATTCATACTACACAGCTAAAATGGCTTGAAACAACCAAAACGAATGGCACAAAATGTCTCTCGGATCACTTAATGTTTAAAAATGGCGACACACATCGATGAGGACAACGCAAGTATTGTGTGAAAGTGGCTCATCTATTGGTGATCATACCTTTCTCGACAGTCTCTCCATATTTTTATCACATCATGCCCGCGTGTGTTCTCCTTAATAATATGACATACAGCAGGACAGCACTCCAATCATTTGTCACATGGTTCCCCTGTGTGACTAAATACGGCCACGTTCCCTCCATATCTAGCTGGAGGCGCGTGGGCCGCAGATGCCACTTTGGATGAGCCTAGCCCTTTTTAAAAAGGGTGGTAGCAGGTTTCTGTCGACAACGAGTTTTGTATTTCTTTTATTTTTAATATAGGGAGCTCATTAAAACCGCAACCAGATAAGCATCTTTGGCTGAAGACGAAAATTTAAAGTCAGCAGTCTGCAATGCATGATAATTGCTTCCTTCCTTCCTTCCTGAGCAACAAAACTGTATTTTAAATTGCTTCCCAGTGCACTGTTGGGCAAGCACTGTAATGGATTTGGATGATGCCAATAAATTGTGGGGGTGCCTATAGGGGAGCGTTTTTCGGGGAATTGAGTCAGGAGCAACTGCTGTAAACAAATTATGATGAACATTGCATCATAGTAAAGAACTCGTGTTATTTTGTTCCGACCAAAATAATTAACGTAGAGTGGTGCGTTGAGACAACAGTGGCCCAACGTATGCGTCAGGTATTTGCACTCAATTGGTTTAGGATGAATCAGTAATCTGTTCCGCATGATCCCATCATCAACTCTCCTCTTCCTTGCAGGGGAATGGTCACCATCACCAAGTGGAGTCTCACATCAGGAAGAAGCTGGACTCTCTCCTGAAGGAGTCTCGTATCGGCGACAAGGAAGACACAGACAGCTTCAGCATCAGAGCTCTGCTGAGGGCCACACACCAGGGCCTGCAGAAGAACCTTCGCCAGGTACTGAGGGGAACAGTTATCTATGGGAATGAGGAGACGAGGATCCCACCCACGTGCCCGCCCATTGCATATGTGGTGTGTCATGTAACACATCAAAATGGCTCCAAAGTGATGAAAAACTACAAGTCTGAAGTGGCATTGCTTAATATTTCACTAGCCCACTTTGCCTCTTGCGCTATTTTTAGAGGCCAGTGTTTCCCGAATGCTGTTTGAAGATAAGAGCGGGTTATTTTCCGACTTTTTTTCGACAAGCAGCTCCACAATTTCATTCTCACAGGACAGAAACGCTTCCTTTCCATCAAGTAGGTCCGTCCGTCTATTGAACAGTTTTTCACAGGACCCAAATTCAATAGCAAGGTCAAAGGTTACTGTCATCAAAACCAAATGTGTCAGACCGCAGAGCACATTTTATCATCCATTTTGATTGGTTCATTTCCAAACTTGGTGGGTATATAGTAGTTAAATTGTTGCTTCCGCTGTGTGTTGCAGAGCTCCAGGGGGGTTTTGAAGAAATCTCAAAGCCGATCCTTCATCACCACAATCAAACAGAAGGTGGGAGAATTTGCTTCACATCAACCTTGTTGAGGCCATGTGAAGACATGATTTGCACATTTTTGATTGGCGTCAAGATCCGGATGAGCCATAAATCTCATTATATATTTGATTTTTTTTTTTTTTTAATACACTTATTGATTACTGGAGCACTCGAGCTGCACTTGAACTTTATTCTTATTTTCTTAAGGTATTCTTGTTATTGCTAACAGGCTGCACTTTCTCGAAGGACATGTGATATTTTATTTCATCTATTTAAATTTTTTTGTAATTTGATTTTTATTGCTGCAGTTCCTAGGCGCTACCTATTTATTATTACCGGTATTTTATTTTCTTGATTCATTTTTAACAAGATATGCATTTTTATTTTTTTCATGAGGCAGCTAAGCTCCATTTTATTGTATTATATTTTATCTATATCAAAATACAATCCATTCTCTTTTATACCCTCTTTTCCATTATTTTCTGTTTAATAGCTCAGATCTTTAGATTTTTTTTTTAAATTACATTTTAGTTTTTTGTTCTAATAATGCCACTTGAGTTACATCATTTGCATCCTGCACCACGAGATCACGAGTGTGCGTGCACGCATCGGCGCGCGTAATGTGCTGGCAAGGTGCTTCCACCCTGTCGTAATTGCTGTGAACTCTTCTGAATTGGACTCTTCAGGTCACACACCTACGTCCGTGGCATTTACTTCATCCGCCACTTATATGCTATACTGTACGTGACGCACTCGTGAGGCATGCACATCGGAAATATATCAGCCCGATGTATCGTTTGTCATTTGTTTTGCGTGTTTTGTCCAGAGGCACTCCAAATCGCGGCTCACCTGCCAAAGCGGGGAGGAGGACGATGAGCAGGAGACGTCCACACGGGAAGCCGGAGTGCAGTTTAACAGGTGGATTTGAAAAAACACTCTCACTTACATGATGAGGGGAGCGGGCGAAGCGGCCGGGACGGGGGCCGGGTGGCCTGCGCGCCGGGGCTTTCGCCCCGTGGATGATTACAACTGACTGCTGCTTTTAACAGTTACACACTGTTGGGGTCAAATTTGACTTGTTTTGACCCCAAAAAACCCCCAAAAAACAAAAAAAAAAGCTCTGAATGCCATTCTTTCATCTTGAAATGTGAAGACTTTTCCTGAAGTAACAAAAGTTATATCGGGGTGAGAGGTTCAAATGTTGTTCATAGTTTGATATAGACAATAAAGCTTAGCCCGGATGAAAATGCAACTGGAGCATGCTGCTTATGTGTGTGTGGAGGGAGTGCAGTGTGCAAGGTTTCCACGGTGGCCAGGTGTCAGTAGTGTTAATGAAGTCCACTGCACCAGAAATTATGCATTACTAATTTGTATGAGCCGTAAAATAACCCAAGTGATTACATAATCACGGAGCGGCCCGGTAGTCGAGTGATTAGCGCGTCGACTTCACAGTGCAGAGGTACCAGGTTCAATTCCAGCTCCGGCCTTCCTGTGTGGAGTTTGCATGTTTTCCCCTTGCCTGTGTGGGTTTTCTCCGGGTACTCCGGTTTCCTCCCACATTCCAAAAACATGCATGGCAGGCTGATTGAACACTCCAAATTGTGAGTGTGAGCGCGAATGGTTGTTCGTTTCTGTGTGCCCTGCGATTGGCTGGCAACCGGTTCAGGGTGTCCCCCGCCTACTGCCCGAAGACGGCTGGGATAGCCTCCAGCACCCCCCGTGACCCTTGTGAGGATAAGCGGATCGGAAAATGAATGAATGAATATTACAGGTACTGTATTTACAAAACAGTAATACACTTGACTCTATGAATTAGAACTGGAATTAAATAATTTCAGTCACCTAGGCTGCTTTTCATCGCGTTTCCAAGCCCCATAAACCATTTCATCGCCAATGACTGGAGTCTTGAAATAAGTACCGGTATATAAAACTGCTTTTTAATACATGCTAAGTCATCGTTAATTGTGCCACTTAATCAACTAATAGTCATCCATGCTGTGACTGTCTTCTGTCTTTTTGTGGTAGGGGAGGAAGGAAGAGGAAGACGATGAAGCTGAGTCGGGATCTGTCAAACTTGGTGGTGTTCACCAATTCTGTGGCCTCGCAGGAGTGTCTCAACGAAGGTGTGAAAAAAGCGCTTGACAGCTCAAATATAGCGCCGCTGCAATTTCAAATCCCATTTTTAGAAACATGCCTGGTTTGCATTTGTCTTCAGGTACGCCGGGCGACGTTCTGTCATTCAGCGAGACCAGAGCCCAATCGCTGGTCCATCACAGAGCTGAGCACTTCCTGGCTTTCAATCAGAGGCAGCTGTCACGGATTTATCCCTCGGCATACCGCATCGACTCGTCCAATTTCAATCCCCAGTTCTACTGGAACGTCGGCTGTCAGCTGGGTAAGCTCGTCTTCCGCCTTTCTGCGCATCCGGCGACAATGAAATCAATACGCGCCGCAACCCCCGCCCGTTCCTGAAAATGCATTTTTGAGCTAACTGTCATCGAGTTCATCCCAAATGATTTTTTTTTTTTTTTATGGGGTTCTTCCAGATGAATCTCATTCAAGTTTTACATTTGCCTTTCAGTGGCGCTCAACTATCAGACGGAAGGCCGAATGATGCAGCTCAACAGGGCCAAGTTCATGGTGAACGGAGGCAGCGGATACGTCCTCAAGCCCCCGCCCATGTGTAAAGGTACAGCAATATACAGTCGCAACAGTGCACTGTCGCTTCGGTTTTTGGAATGAGCCTTATCCAACAAGCTGGACCAAAACCAAATTGTGTGGAAACCGAAGCTTAATGGAAATCCAACTAATCCATTCTAGACACAAAATTGTGAACCAATAAAATACATTATGTAGAGAATGATTGTAGTTAAACATAAAGAAAACACTGTGAACTATATACTGTCACCTCCAAAAGTATTGGAACGATGCGATCAATTCCTTTGTCTTTGTTGTGCTCTGAAAAGACGTTTGGGTCTCCGATCAAAAGTTCAGAATTCCAATTTTTATTTCATGGTATTTTACATCTAGATGTGCTAAACTACTCAGGACAGAACATCTTTTGTTTGAAGCCACCCACTTTTCAAGTGAGCAAAAGCATTGGAACAGGCATGAATAAATTAACAGAAAATGAATAACATTTAATATTATGCCATCCCTTACTTGCAATAACTGCATCAAGCCAGTGACTCATTGACTTCACCGGCGTGGTCCAGTCTTCATTTGAACTGCTTTTCCAGGCCTTTCCTGCAGTCTCTTTCAGTTCGTGTTTGTTTCTGGGGGTTTCTCCCTTCATTCTTCTCTCCTGGAGTAAAAAAAAAAAAATGCATGCTCTATTGGGTGAAGGTTTGTTGATTGACCTTCCACTATTCCCCCTGATGAAGTCTTATGTTGTGTTGGGAGTGTGTTTTAAGTCATTGTCTTGTTGCGTGACAAAGCTTCTCCCGATTAGTTTAAATGCATTGTCCTGAAAATTGTAGATTTTAAAATTCCTTCTGCTGCTACCATCATGAGTTACATCATCAATAAAGACCAGGGTGACCGTTTCAGAAGCAGCTGTGCAAGCCCAAGCCATGACATGACGTCCACCATGCTTCATAGATGAGCTTGTGTGTCTTGGATCATCAGCAGATGCTTTCTTTCCCCATGCTTTGGCCTTTCCACCATCTTGGTCTCATCAGTCCATAAAACTTCCATATTTCTATTTCCACATACAGTACCTTCAAAATGATTAAGAATAGCTCACCTTATGCTTCAGTCGTTTCAAGATGCGACTAACCAATCAGTCAATTCAACGCAAACGTCAGAATTCCTTCTGACGAGTGAACTGGTTGTTATGCCCATCAAACTTGCGCACACACACATTTCTCACCAGCATTTGCTTTTGACAACCGGGCTTGTGTAAATACAATGGAATCGCTGCAACACTATTTTAACGCCATTAAGGGATTAAATGGGTAGTTTACAGTAGGAAATAGCAGCTAATGTGGCATTTAATCTTCACTTGACAACAAAACAGAGGGGTGGTGAACCTTCGATGGCTGGTTCATGATCCAGTATTTACTGCCTCATAACTTTCCTGCATTATAGCGGTCTTTTTTTGTGCGTGTGTGTTTGCACTTTTCGGTATTGAAACCCTGGAGAAATAATCTTAGCATCCAGAGTATTTGGGTATTGTTGAGTGATGGCATTCACATCAAAGCGATTATGTTTCACATCCCCTGCAGGCACCTTCAACCCATTTAGTGATGACCCACTTCCAGCATGTCCCAAGAAGCAGCTCGTTCTTAAGGTCATTAGCGGACAGCATTTGCCCAAACCGCCAGATTCCATGCTGGGGGACCGCGGAGAGGTACGGGAGTGGGGGGGGACAGACAAAAATAAACAGTGATCGTTGATTCCATCACATGACATTCCGTCTTTCTTCTTTTCCAGATTATTGATCCATTCGTTGAAGTGGAGATTATCGGTCTGCCTATTGACTGCTGCAAGGAGCAAACGCGCGTTGTTGATGACAATGGTAAAACAGCCAGACGGGAGAGTATCTGTGAAGTGCTTCTCTGCCATAAGCCTTATGGGATCAAAAAGTCAGATGAGCTAATGAAGCAGAGGAGAGGGGTGGACTGATGGCGTAACTCCCTCATTAAGTCGGCCTTACGCGGCATTTGAGAAAGACTTTCTATTGACTTAATCGTGTGACTCTACCGAGGTTTCAATCCGGTGTGGGAGGAGACGCTGTCCTTCACGCTGCACATGGCCGAGGTGGCTCTGGTGCGCTTCCTGGTGTGGGATCATGACCCCATCGGACGAGACTTCATCGGTCAACGGACAGTTGCCTTCAGCAGCCTCATGCCCGGTTCGTGTGCACATTTCCTGTCGCGTCTTTAACTCATTCACTCCCAAAGACGTTTTTCAACGTCTTTTCAGACGAATTGGCTGGTACTGAATGAGTTAATATAGAACAAAAATTGGACACACCCGGCACCACACGCTGTCACATTTGAATCAAAGTTTCTTGTTACATCTTGATAGCATCACGGCTGTGGGCTGTTTTTTTTTTTTTTTGTTTTTTTTTTGTGTCAAGTCGGCTTTGACTCTCGCTTCTTTTAAAAATCTCTCACCAGGTTACAGACACGTCTACCTCGAGGGCCTGACCGAGGCGTCCATCTTTGTGCACGTGTCAGTGCACGACGTCTACGGCAAAGTGAGTATCCCGCTGACCTCGTCTGAGTGCAGTGTGAAGCGCTTGGCGCCAGTGGGAATCTATTTTGGAAGAAGGCCTGAGGAAATGCGCTTTTCTTCAACCACTCCTTATCCGCTTCTCTGTCAATCCTTTTGTCTTTCTAGTGGAGTCCTCTAGTCCTGAATCCCAGCTTTACCATAATGCACTTTCTAGGATCCAGCAAGGTATCCGGATGCCTTTGTGAAAGCTCTGTGTGGTTCTGCATGAACTGTAGGAAAATGCATGAATGCAAAAAAAAAAAAAAAAAAAAAATCAAATAGAAAATAGACACTGTTTGCGTGTGACACGAAACACCCACGTCACACAGATACCGTATTTTTGTCACCTCAGAGCCGTAACAGAATCTTTTGATCTTTTTACACGTTTACTTTGCCTTTTTGCTCAGGTCGAACAATTCATATAATTCAAATTGACATCATAGTGTCTGAGAATTTAATTTTCAAATAACAAAAGCTGCAATTCGGGGAAGGGGGGTGTCCTCTCATTCACTCAGTCGGTAGGCTTTCTTTTTTTTCCATATATGCGCTATGTATAGTGCGTAGATAAATTAACTGCTTTACATGCATGTTTACTGTACATTTTGTTTCTTGAAACAATGAATAGTAGATAAGATAAGATAACCTTTATTTGTCCCACACTGGGGAAATTTGCAGTCTACAGCAGCAAAATTGGGGGGGAAGAAAAAAAAACAAAGTGTTTCATTGCACAAAATAAATGTTTCAGAAAAGAACTGTACACAGTTCAATATAAGTGCAATATAAAATATAGCATTAGCAATACCCTCTATAGAAGCCATAAAGCCATAGATTCTTTTTTTTTTTTTGAAATACATTTCATTGGGACAGTGCACATTAATCAACATGAGAATAAACAGTGCAAATGCACCGGATTTAGCATAAATGCTAGTTTTCAGCCGTAGTCCCAAGGCAGATTTCTAAAATAGCACAGTGGGACACATACGACTTTAAAACCACGATGGCAGAAATAAGAACCAAATAAGTGAGACATCATAAGACAGACAAGACAAGCAGTTGCAGTACTCAATTACAAGACAAAAGACCAGGACAGACAAATCTACTTACAGCGACAAATTTTCTGGCCAGAAGCCCACTGGAACGGGCTGGAGTCCGGAAATGGTTTGCCTTGTTATTGTCATCTGTTTGTTGTCATGATTTATGTTTATGCCACATTTGTTTGGTAGAATGTTGTGAAGGTGTCGTAGTGAACATTTAAAAGATTGGAAGTCACAGTGACGAAGTGAACAACTGTAATTGAAGTATATTTAAAAAAAAGTCTTTCTTGTTAATTAATGGTTCATTCTCCCTTATTTTAGCATAAACCTAGCGTACTATATAACAATTACAGTGTGCATTATTCCGGTCTGATCTTGTTGATTGTAATTCATATTTAATTTATTGCTTGTGTTTGTGAACAAAAATTACATGGGAGGAGGACCTTGAAAAAAATCTTTGGATATTAAATCAGAATTGCAATATGGGGGGGGTGCAATTAGATCATTTTTCACAATCGTTGAGGCTCGTTTAGCCCCATGCAGCTCATTTTGCATTTAGAAAATCTGATGAGCGGCAGTCTTAAGTGTCAAGATTCAGGTGTTTGACTTTGCAAACTGCCTCTGTCACGGCTCTGAAAAAATGTTGCCTTCTTCAAGCAGTGCGTCAACAGATTATTATTTTTTTTAACCTTGTACTTTATGCATGCTTGCATAAATCACAATGGCTTTTTACACTTTTTGCTGTGGTATCTAAAAACACAAGGGGTTCATAAAGGCAACACCGATAAAGGCATGTAAAGGCTACATCATAAAACATTTCCATCCCGTTTGTACTCACTGTGTTTCTTTTTCAGGGAAATCAGTTTCGAGGCATCCGCGGTTTGTTCAACCGCACTTCCAAGTCCTCCGTGGATACGACCTCGGCAGGCATTCGGAAGCGCTCCATCAGCGACCATCTCCTGCGCCGCACCGCCAGTGCGCCGGCGAAGGGCCGCAAGAAAACCAAGATGTCGCTGTCTGAGTCGGCGGCCTTCATGTCAGAGCACAAGAACGGTGCGGGCGTTGAGGCGATTGGAGAGGGCGTGTCTGGGAAGGAGCCAGGGGGGGAAAAGAGGCCCCAGGCCCGGCCCCCCCTCACCCACAGACCAACCTCCATGCCTTTAGAAAGGCTTCTACAGGGGCAGCTAACTCTGTGCTCCGGAGACAAGGAGCATGAAATGGGTGCAAATGCAGTCATTGGTGGGTATCAAGTCTCTAACTTAAAACTCCAAAAAAGTTTTTTGTTGTTGTGTGGTATTTTTTTTTGACATTTTCGAATAATCAGCATTCAAGTTTATAATCATTCAGATTTATAATCCAACTAAACAAACCATTGCGATTCAGGTTTTTTTTTTTTTTAGAGGACAGTGGAACTTCCTAAATTAATGGTATCCAAACTATGGCCCGAGGGACCATTTGTAGCCCGCTGTCCCAATTTTCAGCAGCCCTTGGCATATACTAAAATTCATAATTGTCCTTGGCCCTGCATTGCACTACTTACTTGGTACACGGAGTGTTAAGCAGGGGAAGAGAAGAAGAAATTCCTTCTCATCTCTCACTTTCTTGATTTTTGCCGATAAGACATCTATCTCTAAAACAGGAACAGTATTTCTTTTCAAAACGCTCGGAAGAAAAAAGATAATTTAATTACAGTTGCTAGATGAATGTTCATATTGTGAATGTGAAGCTGAGGTGATTCTTCTGCTGCTCAATGCAGGAGCGGGATACGTTTGAGTGGGACACGATGCCGCTAGCCTTACCCAGAAAATCTGAAAACTGCTTCACTTTTTTGCTTCGACACCTCACTAATTTTTCTTTCTTAATAAACATAATGTAAATAACCACAATATATATCTGCCGAGCATTTTCGTACCTACACTGAATGATTGTTTTTGCCATCGAAATCAATTCAAGGTGACGAATGTCAAAGTGGCTCTTGAATTCTTTGATTTTTGTGTATGTGGCCCTTGGAAGAAAACGTTTGGATACCTCTGTCCTAAGTTAAACTCAATGGGTATCGAAAGTTATCTTTTGCTTTTTCTGTGGTTTTCCTCAAGCCACCAGCCATGGCCAGGAGGAAAATTTTGATTTTTATCACAGAACTGGAAAACAACTTTGCACGACAGAGCAAAGCGAGACTTGCGTGAATGTCATGGCTACTCAGTACATTGCTGTTGATGTGAAGACGTTTACCTCCGTGGTACCAACACACACCTCCCGCTGCACAATTTTACTGTACACTTGTTAAAAAAAAAAAAAAAAAAAAAACTCACATTTCTTTGTGGACTTTTATTCCACTGTTTTTTTTTCTTATCATACAATTGTGAACTTCTTTTGTACAGTTGAATTAGGATTTCGGAAGTTCCATTTTTACTCAAAAGTTAGATAAGATAAGAAAACCTTTATTAGTCTCACAATGGAGAAATTCCCAATTCACAGCAGCAAAGCTATGAAAGGAAGAAGTAGAAGAACAAAATATAGGAGCTGCTGTAAAGGCAGCCACTCTCTCTTAACTCTCTCTCTTAAACGGTGCCTCTGCAAATATTGCCGTTTATATGATCACAAGGGTGTTATTTATTATTTTTGGAATACAAACAAATTGGAGGGTGACCAACTCCTGGACTTCAGAGGTTCTACTGTACTCTAAACTGCATGATATGTCTGAAAGCAACATTTGGAATTCTTCATTTAACATGTCTAATCCAGCTCCTTTGCTTACTTGCTGTGCTATAAAAAACTTTAAGGACTAATGTGCTGTAAAACATGTGAACTGACAGACTGCAGCCTGCTCTCCATGATACCTTAACATGCCTTTTCTGTCCCATCTTCATTTGTTCTGCTTTTTGATAGTAGAGAAGTGACTAGGATGTTCCTGCAGGTAAATCAGACTTCCGTGCTGCTTGTCTGAAGGTTGCATCGTTCAATCAACGTGGCAGTATTGCGTCCTCCCAGTGTGTTCTATTTGATCCCTTTTTCACTGCATGGTACCTACTTGGCTCAACACGGCTCGTACAACCAGGTACTTCCAGGTACCTTTTCTAGTATGTGGACATCGTGGGTTCTGAGTCCCAAGCTGATCGCAAATGGCAACCTGAAGCCACTGCCGCTCACGCTAACATTAGCATTTAGATTTAGCTTTGGATATTTTAGTATTTTACTTCAAAGTCTCCCCTCTGCTGCAGTGGCCCATTTTCTTTCTGCCCACAGCCTATTATGGCGAACAGCTACAGGAGGCTCAACTGTCCTACATTGCCGTTTAGTAGTAGTCTCATTCTGACTGATGTGTTCCATGCAATGTGCTTTTTGCAGTTTCCTGCTTTACTATTGAAGTGCAAAACAGACCACCCCAAACCGAAATACATAAGCCATGCCAAGACGGTGCTATGCACTGGAAAAGGGGTTATTGAAAGTGATATGAGAACTCTATCGCTGTACCATTCGATCCCATTTGATCAGTCCCATCTGACCATCTCTTTTCCCGATACGATGTTTGAAAACATGGACTCCAAAGCCTCATTCTCCAGCTTCTCCCTCACAGTTGTACTTGGAGATCCATTTGTCTGTGGTTTACGTTGTATTGGCTGGACTGTTCGTTGTCATCATTGCTCTTGTTGGGTGGCTTGATGTATTGCATTATACACTCAATTTCCGTCAATTTGTTAATGTCCAACAATATGTGTTCACAGGAACGTACACCTTTGACAGAGTCAGATCTTCCTCTGTGGATCTTCTCATGAAAACATCTGCTTGCATTAAAGAAAGCGTCCAATCCCCCTCTAAGATGGACTTCAACTGGAAAAAAGATCTCAATAAGCCACAGGAGGCCTCTTATCTGGTTGTTGGCGATGGTAGCGTTAGAAATGAAGATGACTATGTCAATTACCAAGCAGGTAACAATCAAGGCAGCCAGTCTAAGATGCCTCCAGCACCTTCTACCAACAAACTGTGTAGATCAGATGAACCAGAAACTTTTTCAACCAGCACAGCGTTCACAGTTGCACCTTCTGTGTCCTCATCCTCCTCTTCCTCTGGCCCTTCCTCCGTGACCCCTTTTTCCCCTGTCAAGATGAACCGTGACCTGAAGTGTCCTAGCTCACTACATGACAGCACTATTTCCAGACTCATTGATGCTATGTCCTTAGGCAACGAGCAAGATACACAAGGCTCCATATCAGCTCTGATTGGTCAATTTGAAAGCACTGGTGACCAAAACGAGTTCAACTCCTCTCGCGATCATGTGCTTTCTCCTCCCAGAGAGCTTCAAGATGTCAGGTCTACTCCAACAATGTCAGTCAATCTAAACGTTCCCCAAATTGCCACTCCAAGAACAACCCTTTCACCATGCACAATTCATCTGCCAGATTCAACCGGCCCTGCTCTCTTCTCCAGTCCAGAAACCGCTGATCTTGAAGAGGTCTATACCATTCTAGATGAGGAGATGCTATCACCTCCGATATCGGTGTACAACCAGAAAAATGAGTCAGTCCGTGCTCAGGCAAGTACTCTGAACAGCATACCATCAAGCAGTTTGGCTTCTTCTCCAGCAAAAGTGGCTCAAGGTTTAGGGAGCCTGCGCAATCAGTGTTGGAATGAGGTGATTACCACAAATTGCGGGAGGAATGGAGATCCAGAGGAGGTAGAGGAGAGTGTGTATGAGGAAGTATTTGATCCACCGGCACCCACAACAGAACAACAGAGAAGTTCTACTCAAAGATACACGCTATCACCTCTGAAGTCTTTCCAGTTGTCCCATGACCGCATCGGCAATGCTTTTGCAGAGGTGGAGGTGAATGTTGATGAGGATCCAACAGAAGTGAGGTTGACCTCACCAAAACAAGCATGGGAGACCCCCAGTAGTCCATCGCAACAGAGTGCTATTTACCAAAACGAGACTACTCCAGAATACTCTCAACAAAGACATCCTCTGCCATATTGGGAGCCTCAGCACTACCCAACGTTTTCAACACCGTGTCCCTCCCCGTACAGCAAACCTTTGTATCAGCGACCGAATCAACAGTCCAGCGTCCAATCTTCTCCAATGCATAGACTCATAGACTCGAAACTTTCCAAACCAAGACCACTAAGCCACAACGGCTACCCAACTCCTCAAAAAAATCATTTTCATTATAATCAAGACTTTATACAACAGAGAGGGTCCAACAACAGCGTGATCGCAAATGGTTTTCACCAAGGAAAGCAAGTCAGCCCGATCTCCAAAAATTTTGACAAGAGAACACAAGGATACAGAGTCATGGAGCAAGAAAGATGCTTGCAAAATGGTTTTTCCTCTTCAGAAAGTCTTCATGTTCACTCTACACTGTCAGCAAATAACTGTTGTGGTCGAGGCCTTTACTCACCGCCTATTGATTTTTACATGGACTCCAATGACGTTACATCCTCATCACAGTCTGCAGCCCCTTCAGTCTTGCAACCAAGCTGTCAAAGTCAAATCCAAGTGCCCACTCCAAAGCTTTCTTGGAACCAAAAGGTAACTGTGTCCAAGGTACAGTCCGACATCAAAGCTCCAATGCTCTCAACCCCACGGTCTTTATCAACCGGTCCCCAGTCAATGACCGTTGATTCCAAGGTCATCACTCCGTGCAAGTCGAAGTCTTTGGGTGATCTGACATCTGAAGACATACTGTGTAACTTTCAGAGCAAATACCACATCATTAGTCGCAGTTTCATCACTCCACACATGAGGAAGCAAAAAAGTCTGGGAACCATGGGGGTAGGATCTTTCCAGTCCAAATCTCGTGATCCCCTTACAGAACAGTTGCGCAAACTAGTCAGTTTTGAGATTGAGGATAGTGAAAGAGAAATTTGTCAGTCTCCTCAATGTGATCAGGAAGTGCAGTCCCCAGAGACATTGAACACAGAGCCATCTACTTCCCAGGATATTGACGAGTCCCCTCTACCACTCACCCGTCGCTTATCCTCCCGTAGCCAAAGCCGAGTGCGCCACATCAACAACCGCGCCCGCGAAAGACAGCAGGAGGCCCTGAAACCACGTTCAGGTGGAATGGTCAACAACGGGGTTGTTTTGAGGAATAAACCAGCCTCACAGAATTCACCTGTGAACAGACACTCTACTGGCTCTTACATTGCAGGTTATTTAGGCCAGCTGGAGGACAGGGGACTTCCTGAGGGAGCTTGTACATCATCCCGGTACGGAAATGGGGATCAACGTGCAGATCACTACTGCACCAGTGACTCATTTCCACAATCAGACTCCTTCCACTTCTCGTCAGAGCCAGAGGTCTACTTCTTGCTTAGACTTTAGCTTTGACCTAAAACTTGATAAAGGACAGTGTGACTCTGCACTGGTTGATCAAGGAATTATAAACTTTTTTTCCCCTGCAAAACGGAAGCTTTTCCATGAAGCTGGACATCGAGTACACCGAAACAGTTTACTAGTGTTTTGTTTACATTTCAAATCACTCTTCAAGTTTCTCACCTGCGACTGGAAAAGACAATGCTAACCAATGATGGCTAAAACTGGACCTGGACTGCCTGCTCTGTTGCTGTTCCACTCAAGTCCCATAAGGTGTCAGTAGCACAATAACAGAAAAGGGCTCAGAGCTTGGAAAAGCTAGTTGTAACTCTGTTTCACCTGTGTGACAACACCATTTCAGCCGACAGTGTTTAAAATTTGATCGTTGCACGACCGTTTAGTGTCTCTCAGTTGGTCCTTGTCCTCTCATGTTTAAAGAAAAGAAAGGCCTTTAAAATCAGCCCCATTTTATTAGTGAGTCAATCGAAATTTACTTTTGCGAAGCCATATGCCGGTTTATAACTTAAATTTTGAATAGATATTTGCTCTTTTATAAGATAAATTTGAACCTTTATAAGATAATTATGGTTATATGATGTGAAATAGCTTGCAGGCATTTTTTTGGGGGGGGCGGTGGTTGGCTAATTAATATTGTTGACCTGTGTCTCACAGTTCTGCCATTTGTATTTGTCAGCTTCCATTAAGGATTCAGTAATACATTGTATGGCTTTGGTTTTGGAATGCATTTTTGCTCCTTAAAGGTAATTTTGGTTAAATGATGTGAGAAAGGTTAAAGGGAAAATTTGTTTTTAACCTTTGAAGTCATATAAAGCTAAACGGTCGACCGCACAGTCATTTCAATCATTCCAAAATCCAAAGGCTCACTTTTATCTGCTCCAAGGTAACCAATCTACTTTTATTATTGGTAAAATAGTGCTATAAATGTGAGGTCTCTTTAATATCCGTGCTTGCTAGCAGGCTTAACCAGCTATGCTACTGAGGCTAGCTGCAAGCTCCTAGTTGCAACGTTTGTTTAGGTCTGAAGCATTTGAATGATTGTGAGAGTAAACAAAGAGCTGGCCAGCTTTTACAGGAACTCTGTTGTTCCCTCATATCGTTTTACTTTCTAATTTGTGGTTAACTTGAGTTCTGTGTGTCTTACATCTTAGCTTCCATATTGATGATTTGCTTTGCACAATCTCCTTGTCTACACGCGAAGGCAGACTCCAGATAAAGCTCTGCGATTGTCTGCATATTCAGTTGAATCTGGTCAAAAAATTAAAAGGTAAGGTCAGCAATATACTAGGAATAGCCGTGCAATCACGGTATGCTGTTGTTAGCTTATTAACCAAAATGCTAACGTACTCCATCTTGGTTTGCTTTGCATGATTTCCTTGTGTCACTTTGATATGGTGGACATCACCTTCAAAGGGAGAGGTCAATTTTCACAGTGTCTGCCAAGGTTCAGATTCAAAATGATGCCATACAAACAGCATCGTTGCAGCATGAGATTCATGTATGAAATGTTAATGGTTTTAAAAGTTAAAAGTTGTTCTACAGTTCTGTGGACTGGCGGTGTACTCATGTCTAAATAAGACAGATGTGTGATCGTTGTCCCTGTGATGTCAAAACTTAAATACTGAAACAAAAAAGATTGGATTATGAAGCAGAATGTGTTTCTTTGTATAAGCAGAATATGTCATGTATAAACAAGTGAAGGTCAGCACCATGAAAGTCTCGTTTCTCGTTCACGTGAGTATTTTCATTGACGTGTAAATTATTCCGCTGTTGTCTTGGATCTTTGGATGGTCTTAACTGTGCACCGATCGTATGTTTGTGCATGTGAACATGTCGAGCATGACTATGCACCCGTTTACACAAAAGATGTTGCAGCACTCGACAACTCTTGGACAGAAAATACAGTGGAAGATGAAGGCTCACACGCGGCTGCAATCTAGCATATCAAAATCTGTGCTTCTGGACTTGTTGGCGTCTATGGTCTGCAGACAAAAAACATAATCAGAACTTTAAAGGGTTTTATTTTTTTAATTGCTTTGATACAGAATACAAGCTCTTGTCAATTCTGGTGATTATTATTTTGTACAACTCAAAACGGAATGCAAATAAGTGTACAGCGGCGAGGCAGAGGAAATGAGCGTAGCAAAGTTGGAATTGTATTCTTTTTATTTTCCAGTGTTAAACCATCACTTTCTTTGTATGGGTGCTCATCTGAAGACTGAGCATTTTCCTACCAACGCAATAAAAACAATGACGTATTTGGTTTCCACTAATTCTGTTTTTGTCTCTTCTCTTCACAAATTTGGGAATTTAGTTGAAATTTTGTTGTTCAAAACGTTGATGAAAGGTTTCTTTTAATGTTTTAAAATAGTTGGTGTGTGTGTTTGTGTGCGTGTGTGTGTGTAACAGAGTTAAGGGATGTGAGCGGGATAAAAGATGGATGGTATATGGGTCTTTATTTTGCTGAGGTCATGCAGCTTTTTCAAGTGGTCACAAAGATCTCCGTGATCTACGAAACCACGGCATCTTACAGACTGCCAGTAAAATTTGGAAATATAAAGCTCTCCTTCATGTGACCAAGCCTCACATTTATTCAATAATTAATGTGCAAAAAGTCATAAACAGTCCCAATAAGGCCCATTATACACAATGAGGTGTAATTGCTCGTGAAATGGCTGTAATGCATCTGCCAAATGGCACACCTGTTGCCTTGTGCAACTGCGTCCCCAGTTAACCTGCCACACTTTGTCATTATTATTAATGTTAGTGGCGCAGAGAGCCAATACCTGAATGAACACGGCATCTGGTCTTTGGAATTAGTTTCCCGTTTGCCTTCAGTTGATGGGATCTTCCATAAAAATCAGTGTAATATTTTCTAAAGGCACTACATTGGGAGTTAAAATAGATGAGAAGCACTGGTGTAAAAACACGCCACATGTGCTAACTTGATGTATTCTACTTTGTTGTTGGATTGTTTTTCCACCACCACCACTCAAGAGAGGAGTCATTTTCAATCCCGGCCGGAATCGTTATTTTTCTTCCAAAGGCCTCGCGACGAGTATAAAGGAGCAGTGTGGTTTTCGTCCCGGCTGTGGAACAGTGGACCAACTCTACACTCTTGGCAGGGTCCCCGAGGGTGCGTGTGATTTTGCCCAACTTGTCTTCATGTGCTTTGTGGACATGGAGAAGCCGTTCGACCGTGTCCCTCGGGGAGTTCTGTGGGGAGGTTATTCATGGTATGGGGTACTGAACCCCCTGGTACGACCCCTGTACCACTGATGTCAGAGTTTGTTTTGATTTGCTGGCAGTAAGTCGGATTTGTTCACAGTGAGGGTTGCACTGCGCCAAGGCTGCCCTTTGTCACCGATTCTGTTCATAACCTATATGGGGGCCTCATTCTTGCAGAATTTGTGGTGCTGTTGGTTTCTTGAAGTTAGGCTTTCCCAACTCTCACTGGAGCAGTTTGCAGCTGAGTGTGAAGTGGTTGGGATGAATATCAGTACCTGCAAATCTGAAACAATAGCCCTCAGTCGGAAACGGAGTGGAATACAGATTTTACTATGCGTTGTAAAAATAAAAATTCCACCTGTTGTTGAATTTAATCCTTAATTCATAAATATTGCAAAATATATAATGGTATTACATATTATTGTTATTATTAGTAATAGTAGGAGTAGTCGTAGGAGTAGTGGTGGTGGTGGTATCGTTATAATTGTCATTATTCTTATTAATATGTGAACCTGGTATGCTTGAGGAAAAAAGGAGGGCAGATTCTGAATCAGGACAAAAAAAGTAATCTAGAAAAGTTTACTTGCATTACCAACGGCAAACCAAATGGACCCATATCTCAAATTAGGTCTTGATGAATATTTCCCAGATATGCCTTTCACTTCTTCTCATGTAATTATGAAATGATCTGAAAACAAACCATAAGGAGACATATCTCAACTTATTCCACGTTTTTGCAAATTTTCCAAAAGAACGGTAGAGGTGTGTGTCTGGAATTCATACAGACCGTCCACGGAGATTACAGCCAGGCAGATATCTGACCTGCTGCGATCACCATCCAAGCGGCCACAACCGGGGGGCCATTCTCAAGATTTCTGGGCTTAGATATGCAAGACTGATATTGTTTAACTGTTGTTAATTTCTTGTATCTGGTGTGTTCAGGTGATAGGCAAACAGATGACATTCTATTATCAAAACCATTATTACAACTGTAGTTCAAGTTTTTGTCGTTGTTTGGCGAGTTATGGCTGCTCAAGGCAAGGGTGTCCAAACTTGGTCCTGAGGGGGCGCTGTCCTGCCTGTTTTCCAGCTCTCCCAGAAGCAACACACCTGATTCAAATAATAAGGATCATTCTGATGCTGCGTCACAGCTGGCTGATGAGCTGATCATCTGAATCAGGTGTGTTCTACCCGGGGGAGATGGAAAACAGGCAGGGCAGCGGCCCTCCAGGCCTGGAGCTGGACATGCCTGGCTTAAGGCGTACACACCCAGGGGTAACCACTAGATGGCAGTGTCGTACCATTCAAATTGCGCTTTCCTCTTCTTGGCTTGTTGTGGCTTTAAGACTTGAGATTTCCTAAACAGAACAGTGTTCGGCAAACAATCCAAAGGAACCCATTACTTTAACCAAAACGACAACTGTAGTGATGCAAAACTGCTCCGTATTGTACCGGGTGCCGTTTCTTATATTTTCATTATTTACAGTCCCTACTATAGACAAGTTCTTGCCTTGGTTGCCATTAGCTTGTGAATTTTACATAAAGCATTGATTAGACATCATAATGTAGAATGCAAGATGTTCACACTTTTCACTCATACTAAAGGCCAATCTGTGGCGTAATCAACTTTTATGTGTTATCTATCTATCTATTTTCATGCGCCCTAAATGGTTACCGGTTGCAGTGGCAGGGGTCCGATAGGGATGCCTTATCCTGTGTTAGGCCTTCTCCTCCAATTTAGAATGAGGGACACACTAACATCTCCACGCAGACCACCTGTGAAACGATCCCTCCTGTACGTCCTCGGTCTGCCTGCCCCGCACCATCCAAAACAGATGCCCAAGCCACCTCATCGGTTCCTTCAGTGGCTCTTCTATGAGTCCTACATGGATGATTGAGCTCCTTGCTTGATCTATAATGGTGAGTCCAGCCACCCGGTGAAGAAAACTCATGAGATAACTTCAGCCGCACACCTTGTCCTTTTGATCTCAACCCGAAGCTGCTCGGTATAGACACTTTAGATTTGTATATTCATAGCTCCCAGTGAGATCATAGTGCACTTTAAAAACCAACAGTGGCGATGCAGAATGGCCTACTTTTAACAGGTGGACCCCTGAGCATGTTGTTTCTCTGGCCTTGTTGTTTTGCATGTGCAAAACACAGTTGTTTGCCTGGCTTTAATGGCTGTTTTTGCTTCGCGTTGGGAGAAAGGCGTTTGTTTGGGCGTCATTTCCCCACGGGCAGTTTGTGACACCAAGAAATAGCAGCACAACATGAGAGAGTGCAGGAGACGGCCACTGAGGCAAAGTACTTCTCAGGTGTCGTTCGTATCATACTTTATGTCGTTGAACCGCAATAATCGCTGGTGTTTTAATGAAAATGTCTCAGGCGTGTCTTCTGATCCACAGTTCATCCATGTATTGGCTGTCCTTGTTCTCCACTCGCCGGTGGCCTTGCTCAGCCCCACTGGTGATCCTGGTCGGCCTGGTGAGCAGGCAGCCAGGCCTTATGGCGGGTCCGCAGGCGGCTCGAGCACTGACTTGTCCTCGGTGGGGAGCACCCGCAAGCCGCGGGCTTTTCCAGGATGGAGATGTCGTCATCGGTGGACTTTTTCATCTCCATTACACGCCTCCTGCCATAGACCATGACTTTGCTGGCGAACCAGACTATAGAGAATGTACTGGGTATAACTTGTTTGTTTATTATTCTGACCTTCATTTGGGGTTCCATCATGTTGATTTTTTTAATGAATTCAAACATAGACTGCATTTCAGAACTGGATAAACATTCTGTCTGTACAATATGAATAAGGCTCAAGTTTGATTGACTACAACATGCGTCAAATTTTGTACGCTCAGGTCAATTCAGGCTTCACAGTCAACTCATTCAGTCTTTTGTTGTCTTGTCCCTCCAACCCAGTTTAGAGGAACTCCCCCTACAGTACATTTACTCGATGGTATTTGCCGTGGAGGAGATCAACCGGAGTCCTCGCCTGTTGCCGGGCGTGAGGTTGGGCTATCACATCCGCGACAGCTGCGCCTTGCACCCATGGGCCACGCAAGCAGCCCTCTCGCTGGTGAGCGGAGACAGCACCACTTGCAACATTGCTGCAACCCCGCAGGACGATTCTGGAGGAGGTGATGGGAAAGGTATCATCCAATGGTATCAATAAAACACCAGACTATTTTCTTTGAACACATTTTATTCTGCACAAAATGTCTTATCAGGTGTTCCGTTGATCATCGGTGGTGCTTCATCCAAGACGGCCATGATACTTTCCAGAGTGCTGGGGCCACTCTCTGTACCTTTAGTAAGTTCATTGAAATACTTTATAGATGACCTTTTAAAGGCAAGGATGCTTTGTTTTGAACGGCTCAGTTAATTTCACAACATCTAATATCATTACATTTCTAGTTTTGTCGAGGGTAGATTTATACCGTACAGTGCACCAATATTGTGTAATATTGCGCTGTAATATTGGGAGCTGTTATTTGACAATATTTGAATTTATTTGTTCAGTCAAATGAGAAGAGCGAAGAGCGATGTATGGAATAAATAATTAATTAAATACAATTTAAAAATTGAAAAATACTGGAACATTTCGCAAAGAAAAATAACAAAATATGGGACAAACGCCATTTTTTTCAAAATACACTTAAAAATATTTAGGAAAAGAAAAAGTAAATTCGATCCAAAATGAGTGAAGAAACAGGTCATTATGAAGATCAAACATTGCTTGCCCCACCTGAGTTATTACATGAAACGCATTAACTTGCAGAAGAGTGGTGTCTGTTTTTCTTTTTTTTTGGGGGGGGGAATGGTGAAATTACATTTCATTCATGAATGCATTTTCCCTATTAGATGAGCTACCAGTCCAGCTGCCCTTGTTTGAGTGACAGGCGTCAGTTTCCCAACTTCTTCCGAACCATCCCCAGCGACATTTACCAGGCGCGGGCCATTGCTAGGCTCGCCATATACTTCAAGTGGACCTGGATCGGCACCGTGATTGCAAACAATGACTACGGTCTGATGGCCGTCAAGGTAAAATCACAATCCAATATCGGAATTGTTTCAGAAATTCTAAGAATTATGGTTCGTTTTGTGAGGTACTCATTTCGTATCATTTTGTACCAGTGGACGTGTGTCCTTCATCAGACCAGGAAGTTCTGATACCATTATTGTCATATTATGGGCTAGTAGGTGTTCCAGGAGGAGACCCAGGGTTCCGGCGTGTGTCTGGCCTTCGTGGAGACTCTAAACAGACAAAACATTGTGAATGATGCCAGGAGAGCAGCCCTCGCGATTAAGGCATCAAGCGCCAGAGTGATATTGATCTTTACGTGGTACACAGACGTCAGGGAGCTCTTTCTGCAGCTGGCCGACCTGAACGTGAGAAGCAAACAGTCGTTCGATACAAGATCTTTCCGAATGGTCATGTGATCCTTATGTATGCTGACGCCAGGTGACAGACAGGCAGTTTCTTGCCAGCGAGGCCTGGAGCACCAGTGCCAGTCTTCTCCGACACCCTGTCACCTCGCGAGTAGCGAGCGGAGTCCTGGGCACGGCCATTCGGAGCTCGCCGATCCTCGGACTCCGAGATTACCTCCGAAGTTTGACTCCCTCTCGTCGCCCGGGTGATGACATTTTGAGGGAGTTCTGGGAGATGCAGTTTGCATGCATTCCTCGGCTTTCCAACGGCACAACCACGCCTGACCGGAGCGCCTCCCTGCCCCTGTGCCGAGGGGACGAGTCCCTGGAGAGGGTGGACAATCTCTTCACTGACACCTCGCAGCTACGACAGGCTTACAACGTCTACTTGGCCGTTTACGCCGCTGCTCACGCCCTTCACGACCGCCTCGCCTGCCCCGACACACACACCTCCTCCAGGGAGGGCAGCTCCACCTGCTCCTCCCCAACAAATGTCAAACCTGCCGAGGTAAACAGCAACAGTTTGTGATGAGATGTATTTGACATTACGCTGATGGTGAAACATCTGAGGCTGACATTACATTGCGCGCGTTTGTGTTTGGAATAGGAGTATCCTTTACTCTTATTGTTTTCTCAATTCCCCGCATCCCAAACATAATCAGTAGTATGACTTTGCATCTTTCAATCTCTCTTTTTAATTTGCAGTGTTTGATTGAAATTGAAATGTGAATACAAAATACAAAATAATAATACAAAAATGAATAACTGTAACAAACAAATAAGACAAAAAAATTGGGAAATGGAAATCTAAATCATCTGAAACAATGGTCCTCAGTCGAAAAAGGGTGGAGTGCCTTCTCCGGGTCGGGGAGGAGATCTCGCCCCAAGTGGAGGAGTTTAAATATCTTGGGGTCTTGTTCACGAGTGAGGGCAGGAGGGAGCAAGAGATCGCCAGGCGGATCGGTGCAGCGTCTGCTGTGATGCTGACCTTGTATCTGTCTGTCGTGGCGAAGAAGGAGCTGAGCCAAAAGGCGAAGCTCTCAATTTACCTGTCGATCTACGTTCCAACCCTCACCTATGGTCACGAGCTATGGGTTGTGACCGAAAGACCCAGATCCCGGATACAAGCGGCTCTCCCTTAGAGATAAGGTGAGAAGCTTGGTCATCCGGGAGGGGATCAGAGTCGAGCCGCTTCTCCTCTACGTTGAAAGGAGCCAGATGAGGTGGCTCGGGCATCTGATTAGGATGCTTCCTGGACCCCTTCCTGGTGAGGTGTTCTGGGCATGTCCCACCGGCCGGCAGGGCGCCCCGGGGACGACCCAGGACATGTTGGAGAGACTCCCAGCTGGCCTGGGAACGCCTCGGGGTTCCCTGGGAACAGCTGGAAGAAGTGGCTGGGGAGAGGGAAGTCTGGGCTTCCCTGTTAAAGCTGCTGCCCCCACGACCCAACCCTGGATAAGTGGTAGAAAATGGATGGATGGATGGATGAGGAACAATTGAAGTGTTCTGATTCAACATCTTGGGTGGCTAAATTAATGATTTTACCTCTTTGTTACTCTAATCAATACAGTAATTTACTGGACTTATTCTATTATCAATTATCTTTACCTCACAGGACATAAATTAGTTGCAAATAAGTATTAATATAAGTGTTGTTTGTAGTCTGTATTCCATATTTTTTTTAGACAACATGCATACACACAGCACATACACTTGGTTAAATGTTTTAAATATATAGCAAAATGTGATCATGTCTCCTTTTCAGCTGCTGCAGCACTTAAATGACGTGAACTTCACCACGCCACAAGGGGAAAGACTTTATTTTCAAGGGGCCGACATCCCCGCCAAGTATGACCTGGTCAACTGGAAGAAGCGCCCCGACGGCTCCCTGGAACTTGTTCTGATCGGCCGAGTGGACGGCAACGAAATCTTCATGAACGACACAGCTGTGCAGTGGCGCTCAGGATCTAGTCAGGTGCCAAAAACAAGCTCATCTCATAACATTTTGTTGCACACATGAGCATACAGTACCATTTGACTTTATAGGTGCCAGCTTCGGTGTGCAATGAGAGTTGCCCTCCTGGAACCAGGGTGGCCACCAGGAAAGGAGAACCGGTGTGTTGCTTTGACTGCATCCCGTGTGCTGAAGGAGAGATAAGCAACATGACTGGTGAGCGACCACATGTCGTTCACATGTTGAATTTATTTGCTGATCCCTTGTGTTGAAATATTTCAGATTCGCCCAATTGTGAACGCTGTCCACTTGAGTTCTGGTCCAACACGGAGCATACGGTCTGCATCCTCCGCCAGCTGGACTTCCTGGCCTTCAACGAGACCTTAGGCATCACCCTAACTGCGGTCGCCATCTCTGGCACCATGGTGACCTTCGCCGTTTTTGTGGTCTTTGTCTACTACAGACACACACCTGTGGTAAGGCGTCATTGAATGACATTCCAATTGACTTGTGAGCTCATGTTTCACAAACTGCTCCTTTTTCATCCTTTTAGGCAAGGCAAGGCAACTTTCATACACAAGCCAACTCAATGTGCTTCACACAAGCAAAGACACAACACCTAAATAGCCTTTACAAACACAACAGTTAACGGCATTCAGAGGCAAAGAAAAAAATTGTCACTTACAAAAATGAATAAAAGAACGCGCATTGACAACATTTAAACACATTAAAACAACGTTAAAAGGATGTAAAAGTAAATTAAAACATAAGGGTAGGTTTCTAAAATGAAAAAAAAATGTTTACATGAATCCAAGGAAGGGGGTGAAGCAAAGTTTCTCGCATTGCTTTAATAGCATTTTACACAAATCATAGCATTGACTAAGATTTTAATCTGATTTTGTTTTTTATTATTGTTATTTTTTATTTCACCACATAGGGTAATCGAGAACAGTTTTTCATTTACAGTGAAGACCTGGGAGCCATTTAGGGTTCAGTGTCTTGCCCAAGGACACTTTGACGGCAGACAGTTGGAGCTAACTAGATTATTGGTTCATATGAGCTTACAAAGTTGTTGTATCCATCATTTTTATTTTGTATTACTTATGTGACCATAACTTGTGAATAAAATGTAGCAATTATCAGAACGTAACAACGGCAGCAATGGAGACTCCATGACGAGATGCATCCCCTCTTCCCCTTTCAGGTCCGAGCCAACAATTCCGAACTGAGCTTCCTCCTCCTCTTGTCTCTCAAATTCTGCTTCCTGTGCTCTCTGCTGTTCATTGGCCGCCCCACCGTGTGGTCTTGTCGCTTCCAGCAGGCCGCCTTCGGCATAAGTTTTGTGCTCTCCGTGTCCTGCCTGCAAGTAAAGACCATTGTGGTCCTAGCGGCCTTCCGCTCTGCCCGGCCTGGCGGTGAAGCTTTGATGAAATGGTTTGGTCCGGTCCAACAGAGAGGGAGTGTCTGTGTGTTCACCGGCATCCAGGTCAGTTTGCAAATGGAGACTTTTTGTCCAGCTCTAACTCTATTTTGTTCGTTTTGATGCATTATTCTCCATTCAGACACTAGGTAGCGGCAAAGTATTGTCTAAATTTGCCTGTAAATTTCAAAGAACAAGCGAAAACGAAGTGTCAGCCTTGCTCATGCTGAAGAGATGAGGGAGAGATTATTCTCATTCCTCTTGAATCCTGCTTTTTACAACTACAGAAAGTGATTCAGCTCAACTGTATTTATAGAGCACTTTAAAACAACCACCGCTGGATACAAAGTGCTGTACATGGGGCAAGTATCATATACTGTATACAACAATAAACAATAAAACAATAAATTATGAACGAAGACAGTAGAAAGCACCAAAACAGTCAAACTAAAATCAAGTCTGAGTCATACTGAATCAAAAGCCAAAGAATACAAATGAGTTTTGAGACGAGTTTTAAAGATGGGCAGCGAGGGGGCTTGCTGAATGTTCAGTGGGCGGTGATTCCAAAGAGAGGGACCAGCAACGGAAAAGGCTCGATCCCTCTGAGCCTCCGCATAGTTCTTGGTACCTCTAAAAATGTCTGGTCCGCAGACCTGAGGCAGGTGTGTAGGGGCGGAGACACTCAGATGACACTAGCTTAATTTTACAATGTACGAAAGTGTGGAACTGCCAATGTGGAGTGAAGATTTTAGACTGGCAAATATATATATATATATATATATATATATATATATATATATATATATATAATTTTTTTTTGACAAGTACTTTCAAAGATATTTGACAGGTAAATTAAACTGTAGTGTTTTTTTAGGTTCATCCTGACATTTCACCCAAAAGCCTCTCAAAACTGTCTGTGAGTACAGTATTAACCTGAAGATTTGTGCTCTCTCTTTCCAATCAGATCATCATTTGTATAATTTGGCTGTCCCTCATCCCCCCTGAACCTAAACCGGAGTTGGATACTCCAGGGTTAAAGGTGACTCTTAAGTGCGACATGACCTCCGCAGTGGGCTTCGCTCTGGTTCTGGGCTACATCGGCCTGCTGGCCTGCACTTGCCTCCTGCTGGCCTTCCTCGCCAGGAAACTGCCCGACAACTTCAACGAGGCCAAGCTGATCACTTTCAGCATGCTCATCTTCTGCGCCGTGTGGGTGGCCTTCGTGCCCGCCTACGTCAGCTCGCCTGGGAAGTACACTGTCGCTGTGGAGATCTTTGCTATCCTGGCTTCCAGCTATGGCTTGCTCGTTTGTATTTTTGCTCCCAAGTGTTTTATCATTCTCGTGAGGCCGGAGAGAAACACCAAGAAACACTTGATGGCCAGGTAGCATATTACAGCCAGGTTATCGATTATTTGAATGAACTATGTATGAAATATGTGATTCATTCTTACTGATTTGTATGGTTATGATGAAATATATACAGTAGTTCACTGTAGCACAAAGTTTGATATTCTTTTTTTGGTAGATAAATGCAATTTTATTTATAGTGATATTTACCCCAATTTTGTCTGCAATCTAATGTGGCTTTTATTTTGTCATACAACTAAATGCAACCCTGTTTCTAAAGAGTGTGCACCTCATTTTACTGGATACTCATTCCTACCTTTCTTTGGTAAAATGGTGGAAATAAACTTTTAGTTTATATTACAAGAAAACAAATGTTCAAAGTACGATACTGTCAAGAATACAGTGTTTGTCATGCCTATGCATATAAAACACAGTAATAAACGCCCATCGATACTCCCTTTTTATTGTACTGTATATTTGTACAATTGTTGCGCTGTTTATTTATACAGAAGAAACGTTTGGGGCCTTCTGAAGACCATAAATGTTTGTCAGGCTAAAATCCCAAAGCATCCATCCATTTTCTCTTAGAGTTGTTACTATACATTTGTGAAATAAAAAATATAGCATTTTGTGCCATTTTTTAAAGACATTTGAATGACAGACTACACTACACTTAGACTAATAGAGGCCTCTGTATGAATAAAAAAAAAAACAAAACAATAATCAAGCTGAGTTTTTTTTTTTAATACCTGGTCTAACCGACATTTTCAAATGTTAAATATTTGTTCAATATTTTTGATGGCAAATCACAGATTCCATTATTGTGATGTGACATGGAACAAGTGCCAACTAGGAAGTAACCTGAAGTTGTTGCCGGACACTAACGAAAGTGATGCCACTGTTTGCGTTGAGTGTAACAAACATCTCCTGCAAGTCATTCACCACCCTCACATCCCCGCAAAAATGGAAAAAAAAAGAGTTTGTACTGCAATATAGTTAGCAGATAAGCAAACATTTAGCTGTTCAATTTCTTCTTCTACTACTAATACTGTTGTTTGAGTGTTGTCCATCAATCTGGATGACCTGAGGAACCTTGCTGCCACTCACACGTCAATCTTGGTGTTACGTCAGACATAATTCTTCACCAAGACACACATAAGACACATTTGGGAATATGATGTTTGCCAGCCTCTAAATTATTCATTTATTAGAGCTCATACATTATCGTAGAAAGGGTTCTGTCAGTCGTCATCTGTACCTGTGGGTAAAAAACAAAAAACAAAACAAAAAAAA